ATCACATCGTTAAATGTGTCATTGTGGGGCAGCGTGATTTGTTTCGGGGGCAATTCTTTTCTGTCTTTCTTTTGAGGCCCGATATAGTTCAGCCAGGTGATTGGCTGTGAGACAAACATGGGCCCAATGGCCTTTGATTTCACACCGGGTGCATTCCTCGTCATTATTTATATTTCTCCCAGTGTTGATCCTCTGTTAAGGTCTGTACGGCCTTCTGTTATTATAACACCGATTTGGCACATATCGGGGCCTTTTGATAATTATTGTGACTGTATGTGTTTGTCCGGCCCCGTCCGCGATTCTAATTTCGATCGCGATCAATTCGCTGATTTCTGAATTGCCCACGACCACGCACCGGATTTTCCGGTTGTATTGCATTTGTCTCTGGAAATGGATTTGCACCCGTCGGCCGAGATTCGTGATTTTTCAACAGCAATTCATTATTTTGTTCGGCCAGCAAAAGACATGTGACCAGCTCAGAATATTTCTGGAAGCCTCTTTCGCGATACTGCTGCTGCAAAACCATGTTAGAGGCATGAAAAGTGAAGAAAGTTTTCTCCATCATATTAGATTCAGATACATTTTCATCACAGTGGCGCAGCTGTGATGTTATTTTAAACATTGAGAATTATATTCTTGGACTATTTTAAAGTCCTGAAGCCGTAGGCTTTGCCATTCACTTCGTGCCCTTTGCAACAATGTCAGCCTCAAATGATCATATCTTTCTTTCAATCTTTCCCACAATTCAAGTGGGGATTCCAGCGTGACATACTGCATTTTCAGTGCCTCATCGATGTGATGACATAAAAAATTCATGGCCTTCGCACAATCTTAGCTCGGGGAGTTTTTATTCCGGGCAATGGTATTTTCCAAGCCCATTGATGCCAAATGCATTTTAACATCGCGAGCCCATGCCATATAATTTTGGCCAGAAACGAAGAGATGGAGAAATTCCTGTTTGGCAAGATTAGATATAATAAACAGATAAAATATAAAATATTACCTTGAGGAAAATAAAACATATAATCGTGCTGATAACGTGATGTAATATTATTATAGGATTAGCCAATAGAAATATTAATTATTTTTGCCGCTAACCACTATTTTATATTTTGTATTATATTATATATTGCATATAATATATATAAGTAAATATATATATAGATGTGCGTGCGTGAGTGTGTGTATATATATATGTATGTAGTATGTAGGCTAGTGTATATATATTATATTATATAATATATGTATGTATGTATATATATATATTTATGTATGTATGATATCGTTGATAAGAGATATGAGGAGAACGAATGGATTATTGATTTGGAGTACATGAAAGTGTATGCATTCGATTTCATTCATGGACATATTTATAGGCGAAAAAACCTCAACACAAAGAAAAATAAAAAGCATACATATCTATTATGTAGCACCCTCGTGGATGCTACGTGTATAACAATTTTTAAATTTTAAACATATTCCAAAATTTTATATATCCAAACAAAACAAAAAAAATGTTGTTCAACAACAACAAAAAGTAGACTTAATTTAATTTCTTTTAACTACATACAAACCTATATTAATGCAAAAAAATTTCTCTCAAAATATAGCAAAATCAAAAGTAAAAAACAGTTTAAAATACACTAAAATCTTAAATGCCAAAAAAAAAAAAGAATTCTCTAAAAAAATCGCCATGTAATTCATTTGCCAAACAAATAGATTAATGACAACTAAATTATTCCAAAATACAACAAAAAATTAAAAGCTAAATTTACTGGAGAGAGGCCAAATTCATAGCCCTCAAACCCTTCCAACAAAAATCACAAGAAATATAAATGAAAAAAACAATTAATTATTGATGTTATTCCTTAGAGCGAAGACAAAATTCAATTTAAATAAAAATTTTAGTGTACAAGAACAAACCAATTTGTGGTGAAGGGTGAGAGTAAAACTCCCAGTAAAAAATAACAATGAATCCGGCTAACCTACCACTGGCTTGGCCTTTTCCATCACCTTCTCTCTGTTTCCAGCACCAACAAGGTGAGAGTTGCCTAAATTACGATTTTTTTTCTCTTTAAAAAAAGACATTTTTGTTTGAAGGATTTTGGAGGATTTCCACTATTCATCCAATTTTTTCCCCCCAAAAACATCAAATCAAACACCTATTTTTCATTTTTTATATTATACTAAAAATCAATTTTACATTCAAAACATCACATCAAACCCTATTTATATCACATCATACAACTATTCAAATTCAAAATTTTTACTATTCAAATCTCAATCCAAAATCCAAACCCCCAAACAAACACACCCTAAATCGAAAATTTCACCCATGAAATCAATGAAAAAGTGCGAGAGAAGATTCCGACAATAAAGACTACCAACGACCAGCTAGAAACTGGCCGGAAAAATCACAAATAGCAGCAACGAGATGCGACCCTAAATTGCTGTGTAGATGAATCGGGGTGATTGAGTGGGAGAGAGAAATGAAAAGTGAATGATGGGTGGGTGATTGAATAATTGGGTAGGTAGGCAAATTAATTGGGTGGGTAAAAAAATTTATTGGATGGATTGGGTTAAATTTATTTTTGGGTTATTAATTTATAAAATATAGTTTAGGATTTGTAATTAATGTGTTTTAATTAGTGATATTTTTGTAAATACATGGAAACATTTGAGATAAATATTAAGAATGGTAAATATACTTTTTTACTAAATATGGTGTTTTAAAAAATAATGTATTTTTATAGAGAATAATGCATAATGAATAATGTTGATTTAAGTTTAAAATCATAATCAAACACATTTCCGACCATTCAATTTCTATTAAAAGTTGCTTAATATTGTCTTCAAAGTTACCAACTACATTACTGATCGAAGTACTTATATTATTTGACAGGAAAAAAATACAATATTTAAGTTTTCAAAAATTAGTGTAAACAATTATTACATAATAATTTTTTTTTGTTAAAATTACGTACAATTAAAATACTTAACATCTAAAAACTAAAGAAATGCCATAAAAAATAATAGAATATAATAAATATAGTGATATTTGTTGTAAATGAATATTGAATAAAATATAATAATTAAAAGCTAAAATTTTTATTAATTTAAAATTAATAATGAATAAATTTAACGAATTGATTAAAAAATAATGTGATAACAAATTTTTTTCACGGATAAAATATTTTTTATATTACTAATATAATTTTTATAGTTATCATAAAAATTAATTTCATTTAAAAATATAAAGTGAGCAAAACGTTTATTTAATTATATAACTATTTTAAATTTTTATAGTATTACATAAAATTTTATTATTAATAAAAACCGTTTATTCATATTTTTAGATAATTTTTTTTATGTGGTATGAACAACTGTATTGATAATATAAAAAATAATATTCTGTATTAAATAATTAATTTTTATTAATGAATAATACTATATATTATATTAATGTATATGTATATTTTTATTTTTTTAATAGTATTAATGAAAAATTATTTCATTGAGAACAGACTGTAATGTAAATTTATTGTAAAAATAAATTAAAATTGATATAAATATAAATATACATGTATTATTTATTAAAATAAAAGAAAGAACATAGAGAAAAAATATACATAAAGTGAAGATTCTATCTGAATTGTACCAAATTATTTCTATACAGACCCGTAAATGTACATTATATCTATCTATTCACTTATTTTTTACATGAAATTTTCATAATATTAATAATATTGAGATATAATAAAAATAAAAGTAAAAAGATAATAGTAACATTATTATATGATATAAATATAATTATATTTGTGTCATATATTATAAATTGGAATAATATTTGTAATGTTAGATAAATAGTACAGTTATTAAAAAAAAAATGGACGGAGACACTATTATTATATTAATAGTGAGTGTAAAAGTGTTTTTAAAATACTAAAATATTCATGCTTTATGTAATTATTGTGAAAACGTGCGAATAATTTTGTAAAAAGATTGGGAATTAGTTAAAAATAAGACTATTATGTTGACCCATACAAAAATGACAAAATGAGACTATTGTTTTGAAAGAAATAAAATATATATTTACTCTATTCGTCCCACCATAATTGATATCATTTTTATTTTGTTCTATATCAAAATAATTTATATTTTTCTATTTTGGATAAAACTTACTAAATTAGAAAATATTTAAAAAATATAAATCAACTTATTAACTACCTAAAATATAACATCATACATCATCGTCGTCATGTGACTCATTCAAAACTATTTTATTTTTACATTTTCCTTCAAAAAAAAATAAATATTTTTATTTACAATTAAAACTCTATATCTTTTATAAAAATTAATTTATATTAATTATAAATAAATTATTTACTTGTATTATATAAAAAAAAATTTATATAAAATTATATTCATATTGTATATATTTTTTGTTGCAATATAATTTTAAAAATATTTAAATATATATTTTAATTTTTTAATTATATATAATAAATTTATTTTAAAATTATCAATATTATTAATTATATAAAAATAATAAAATAATATTATAATTATTATTTTAACTAATTATATAAATATTACTCCCTCCGTTCCAAACAATTTGCAACATTTACGTTTCAAACATGCAATATTTCTAAAATAGAAAATAATTAATTATATTTAATTTCTACCCTATATTTTATCCATCGCATCATCCGAATAAAAAAATAAAATATATATTTCTCTTTGCATTACATCACCTAATTATAAATTATCTTACTTAATACTACTCACCTAAAAATTTGTACCAAAAGTAAACGTAGCACCTTGTTTAAAACGGAGAGTATTTTTTCTTAAATAGCGTGTCTTAGTAAAAAATTGTCAGATATATCGGGATGGAGGGAGCATTTTTAAATATTAATTAAAAAATAAAAAAATGAAAAAGAAAAAATGTATCCGGTTGAATCGATTCACACATGATGCCGCATCTTTATTTACTTAAATATTTATTATTATAATAAACCCAGACCTAGCAGCGAGTACGATAGAAACTCCGAGGTGCGCGCGTCCGCGTCCGTCCAATTTCCTCCATGAATAATCGAGGAATCGACGGGCCGCCGGCCAACGGCGGGGAGTTCCTCCTCCAGCTTCTCCGCAACCCTTCCAACGCCATCCCGCCTGCACCATTGCCACAGCACCCTCCTTCGCAGGCGCTGCCGCAGGACCCCGCCGTCGCGGCCGTCGGTCCGACAATCCCCGCTTTCCTGCCGCCGCCGCACGCAGCCTTCCCAATCAACGGTCTCGATTTGCCTTCCGTTCCGTGGAACCATTCCACTTCGCCGCCGTTTGCTCTCCACAATTTCTTCCAGCAAAACCCTAGGCCGAACCCTAATTTAAACCCTGATTTGTCGCCGCTGCCCGCAGTCTTCGGCCACGCTTCGCATCAATTCAATCTCCACTCCAGTCGCGCACCGTCCGTCGATGATTCGCGGACATTGGGGTCGTATGGGGACGCATCGAAGCCAGGCGTCGCTCATCAACCGGAACAAGTTCTCATATTCGGTTCGTTAAACCGCGAAATCCTTCAAAATCAGGCACCGGATGTATTGCATCAGAGTTTTTACAGAAGGAATAGAATGGAAGAGGGATTAGGAATGGATAGGAAATTGAATGCCCATCCACTGAATCCAATTGGTGTCAATGGAGTAGAAAAGTCTACTACCTCAAGGGTTCATGATCGAGAAGGAGGTGCTGAAAGTTATAACAGGAGGAAGGAAATAGACAATGGTAGTTACAGGGCAGTGGCGCCGCCTCCAGGATTTTCGAATAATCTAAAGAATGTGAATAACAGAGAAGTTGGATTCGTGCGGAGGAGTTCAGATCATGATGTGGATAAGGGTAAGGGAAGCCATGAGGACATGTACAGGCATGATAGATTGAGTAATCAGCTTGAATCCCCCGGGCTGCCTGCCGGGAGCAGCCTTACTTCAGCATCAGCTTTTGATATTGAGGAGTCAATGAAGGAATCTCACGGTAAGGAAGTTGGGGGGAACAATATAAACAGAGACCGTGGGAAGATTGAGATGGATGATTTGGAGGATCAGTTTGTGGAGTCTCTAGGGCTTGATGATGAATCTGGTGAGAAGAATGACAAGAAGAAGTATCAGCGCGACAAGGTTGATTCTTTGTTCCTTTCATTTGGATGAAATATGGAAACAATTTTATTCTTGTTTTTCTAATCATGATATCTATGTGAAATATTTGCTGTTGGTACTCTATATATTAGGTAAGTGGCTATGCTTTTATGAATGTGACCCTTTAGTATTGATTGGAAGCATGTTATCTAGCAATGGGAATAATGATGATGCTCGGTAATGATATACATTGTGGAGTACCTTGTTGTAGTTCTCTGTATTGGAGATTGCGATAAATTTCTATGTGAATTATTTGGAAGCTTTAATAAATGTGAAGCTTTAGTATTGTTTGGAAGCATGTTATCTAGAGATGGGAGAGATGATGATACTGGATAATAATATATATGGTGGAGTACCTTGTTGTAGTTCTCTGTATCAGAAATTGTGATATATTTCTATGTGAATTATTTGCTGTTAGTATTGTGTATATTAGGTAAGTGGTGATGCTTTAATAAATGCGATGCTTTAGTATTGTTTGAAAGCATGTTAGTTATCTAGCGATGAAAGTGATGATGATACTCGATAGTTATATTTATGGTGGGTTACCTTGTTTTAGTTCTCTGTATTGGAGATTGCGATATATTAAAACCAACTCTTGATGTCTTTTTAGTGGGGATTGGTAAGGTGAAAACGGTTAGGTTTAATGTGGAACTGGTAAAGGGCATGCTTGAGTTACTACTGCCATATGAAAATCTACTTCTTGGATATTTGGGTACTTTTTATTGTCGTTTACTTAATTGATACATGCTACTTCATATAGTTCACAGCTGAAAATCTACTTCCTGGATATTTGGGTACTCTTTATTGTCGTCTACTTAATTGATACATGCTACTTCATATAGTTCAAAGCTGAAAATTAATTGCTTGGTTGGTATTTTGTCGTTATGCATAGTTTTTGTAAGATTTAACTTACTTGTGACTATGGTTTAAGTTACATGTGTGGCAATCATTTTCTTGGCTCATCTCTCTCTGGAAAGTGTTACGGATATAATTAGATCTAAAACTGCCGATCCCACGGAATTTGTGATTATCTTATGCCTTTTGACAGAGTCGTACATTACAATCTGGAAACATGAGGGTCTAATAAAACAAACTCGGTCTTATCTAGCTTCATTAATATTTTTTTACATGGAAAACATTCTCCTGTTCATATCATTGCTCTTTTTTCGAGTTGCGCTTGACAGCTGAAAATTTCAAGTGAAGGGTTGGATAACCTCATTTTCCTAGCAACTTATTTCTAATCGGAATGCTATTTAAGATTTAAATATTAAGGTAAAGTTCTGCAATATGTCCTGATAGCTACCATGCTCTTCGTGAACAGGATTACAGATCTGATAAGAGAGGGAAATGGATAATGGCTCAGAGGATGAGAAATCTTAAAAGGTTTACGGTGTGTAGAAAGGATATAAACAACCACAACGCTCCATTTTTAGCTGTGTTCCAGTCATTAATCCCAGCTGATGAAGAAAAGGTTAAGCAAAAGCAATTATTGGTGTCCTTGGAGAAGATTATTACCAAAGAATGGCCTGGGGCACGTTTATATCTGTATGGTTCTTGTGCAAACACATTTGGCTTTTCAAAAAGCGACATTGATGTGTGCCTCACAATGGAGCCTGGAAGTATCGACAAATCTGAGGTCTTGTTAAAGCTGGCTGATATGTTGCAGTCGGACAATCTCCAGAATGTGCAGGTGGACTGTTTTTAATAAACATTCTATAATGAATTTTATTCTTAAATCACATATAAATTACATCCACGACATGGGTCTTATTAGCCTGGACATTATTTCAATACTAATTATGAATCGTGTTTCTTTCCAGGCGCTGACACGTGCCAGAGTTCCTGTGGTGAAGCTCATGGATCCAGCTACTGGTATCTCCTGCGATATATGTATAAACAATTTACTGGCTGTTGTAAACACAAAGCTACTTCGAGATTATGCTCGGATAGATGCAAGGCTCCGGCAGTTGGCATTCATCATCAAACATTGGGCTAAATCACGTGGAGTCAACCAAACTTATCAAGGAACTCTCTCAAGCTACGCGTGAGTCATCTTGGCTTGTTACCTTTGCATTTTCAAAATTTCCTTGTTTTATTTCCGGCTAATCCACTGCTCCGATGTTGTCTAGGTATGTGATAATGTGCATCCATTTCTTGCAACGGCGATCGCCTCCCATTCTTCCATGTCTCCAGGTACACAGTATTGTTGAGATCAAAGTATTTGAGCTGTAGCTATGCAATTTCTTTTGTCCGGTAAAATTAGAGCATTCGTATCCGGCACGAAGATTAAGAAAAATAAATATTTTATTGAAAAAACGATAAAAGTAAAAACGTGTTTGGGTTTATTTTTGGAAATTTAATTAGAATTAAATAAAACAATGAGAAAGAATGTAATAAAAGTAGTGACATTTGCTGTAAATAAGTGAGGAATGAAGGATAATCGTTAAATGTTGATTTGTTGGCTTTGCTAAAATTAGTAATAGAGTAATTTCAGCGGATAGACCGAAAAGAAAAGTGAGTAAATTTGGCGGACAGAGATAATAAATTTAAAAAACAATTGCTTTTAGATTTCATTGGCCGATACTTTGGATTAGAGTCTTTGCGTCGTAACCATATCGAGCGAATGTCTATAACTATGCTCACTACATATTCTATAAGCATTACAGTTGTTTCTCCTTTCCGGTTATTGGCAGAGAATGGAAGTTACATATTCCGCAAAACTTGACAACATCGAGTGCGCATATTTTGATCGGGTGGAAATGCTTCAAAACTTCGGGTCCCAGAATCGGGAAGGCGTTGCTCAACTAGTCTGGGGCTTTTTCCATTACTGGGCCTATTGTCACGACTACGCCAACGACGTCATTTCAGTTCGCACTGGAAGCACAATACGGTTAGGAAACCTTCAACTTACACTCCGCACACTACTTCCATTATCTAAAACGTGATCACTAACCTTATGCATTACAGAAAGGCAGCTAAAGACTGGACTCGAAGGGTCGGCAACGACCGTCACTTGATATGCATCGAGGACCCGTTCGAGGTATCTCACGATCTCGGCCGTGTGGTGGACAGGTACAGCATTAGGGTCCTCCGGGAAGAGTTTGAACGCGCCGCTGAAATCATCCAGCACGACCCCAACCCCAGCGTAACTCTGTTCGAGCCCTATGTTCCTGAGTAATGCCCCGTCGCCCTGCTCGACGGACGTCGACGACGGCGTCTTTTCGTGTAAATTCCCTATCTCACAATCCTTTGAACTATCATCAATCCTGTGTTGGGTTTATTTATACCTTGCTTTGAACGTTCGTACCCTTGAAAGTTCTCTCTTATCAGTTTGTACATGGTGAAATTTTGTTGCCCTTTTGTTGTGCTTGTATTCTTTTAAATCGGTATGCTAATTGTCACAATACAAAATTTTAAATGTTTTTAACGGCTCATTTAATTTGAGGCCCATTTAAGTAAAATGGGCCGGCGGTTTAAAAATAAAGGTGGGGTAATATGGTAAATAGAATGGCGGCATGGAAAAGAAGTTGAGCATTGATTGATGAGCGTTTAAGAGAAGAGCGGCGGGAAGCCTTCGGTTCCCCAAAAATGTAGGCAGAATCGTTCGATCGAGCGGAAGACGATGTGGATCATCAAGATAGGTAATGCGCAACCGCGTGTGGTGTTTAAATGCAAGCGTTATCCATTCTAGCTGCAGAACAAGCTTTGATTCGATCCAAGAGAAAAGATTCGATGTGAGAAAAATCTTTTCTCGCAAGTTTGGGATATCGATATCGAAGCTTTCGGCAAACGGTTTGCCTTTTTCAGTTGTCAACATGGATAGCGCTGAGAACAAGGAGTTGCAACCAGGATGCTGCTTCCCTATGCCGAGGAAAGGTAGCGTCAAGGTCGTTTCGGATAAGAAGCTTAGACGGAGCTCGAGTAGCTCTAGCACTAGCAGCAGTGGTCAGTAATCCATCTCTCGCTATGTAAAGTAAACTCAGGATTGCATGATATAGTTTCCTTTTCTTTTTTGATTAATTTAATTTCGTTGTTGCTTTTTGAGAGATGGAGTTTCCATTTCGTCGGTGATAAATTCGAATTTTGTTTTACGAGGAAAACAAATTGTGATGAAGGATTAGAATGCGTTTGTTGTTGCTTTTTTTGGGTAGATTGCTCTCTATTTAGGTGTAGATACGTGCTTCTTCGTATAAAATTTGATCTATTCTTGTGTTTTGTGAATTCTCGTAGTTTTGAATTTAACATTACTATTGTTCATCCATATGGATGATGATACTCTGGTATAACTTGTGTTATTCAACAGCAAGAAAGCAGAATTGAGATGCTAGTTATTTCCCTAATTAAAGTAGATGAGGTTCTCGTTAGAATGGAATGGAGCTCGCTTAGGGTCAAGTCAATACAAGCTACAATATCCGTTTCTTCAATATTCTGCACCATTGAATGTGTGCTTAATCTGATAATCAATTGACAGACCATTAGGTTCAAAAACAGCCATGTTTCTTAGATCCCGTGCTTGCTTTCAACCGAAACATCTATGCTTGCTTACCTCAAGTATTGTATTTTCGTCGTGTAGGTTGGTCAAGACGATCATTTTCTTTTGGAAGGAAAATTGAGAAGAAAGAAACATTAGTTGTTTGCTTTGGCGAGTTACTGATTGATTTCGTGCCGACTGTTTCTGGAGTTTCCCTTGCCGATGCACCGGGATTCAAGAAAGCTCCCGGCGGGGCTCCCGCAAATGTTGCAGTAGCAATCGCCAGATTGGGAGGCAAGGCAGCTTTTATTGGCAAGGTTGAGTTCTGAACTTTTTATCATTTTAGGAAAGAAGCACCTGTGTATGTCCTGTTTGGGCATATGTGATGCTATTGAAGGGGTCGAAGCTACCAAGAAAGCCCGGCATTGATGAATTTTAGTTGCCAATTTTCTTCCTCAGGTTGGGGAAGATGAGTTTGGTTATATGTTGTCTGACATTCTCAAACAAAACAAGGTGGACAACTCTGGGATGCGATTTGACACCCACGCCAGAACTGCATTGGCCTTCGTCACTTTAAGAGATGACGGGGAGCGCGAGTTCATGTTCTTCCGTCATCCAAGTGCTGATATGCTTCTTACCGAACAAGAACTTGACAAAGATCTCATTAGAAAGGTAATCCAAAATACCTGATAATCTTCTTATCCTTTTTGAAGTAAAGTTCATATCGAGCTTAAACAACTGTACACGCTCGCAGGCACGCATCTTCCACTATGGATCGATCAGCTTAATCGATGAGCCCTGCAGATCCACGCATCTTGCAGCCATGGAAGTTGCTAGAAAGGCCGGATGCATTCTGTCGTACGATCCAAACCTCAGGCTCCCTCTCTGGCCTTCGGCAGAAGCTGCCCGCGAAGGTATTATGAGCATATGGAACCAAGCCGATGTTATCAAGGTAGTGTACTAAAATCTCGAAATCAAGAATTACAAACAAAACACATTTGTTCTTGTTCTAATTTCTGCTATACAACAGATCAGCGAAGACGAAATAACCTTCTTGACTGATGGCGCCGATGCTTACGATGACAACGTCGTTCTAGAGAAGCTCTACCACCCGAACCTCAAGCTTTTGGTCGTAACTAAAGGAGGAGATGGCTGCAGATACTACACTAAGGTTATTACCATTCTTAAAAATGACGAATAATTTCATTTCATTTCATTTCATCTCTGTCGTAAGGGATTTGTTTCGACAGGCTTTCCATGGAAGAGTTCGCGGAGTTAAAGTGTCGGCAGTCGACACCACAGGCGCTGGCGACGCATTTGTCGGCGGGTTGCTCAACAGCTTGGCTGCAAATCCTGATTTATACAAGGTTTCCAATTTCTTGGTTCTTTTTGAAGCTCGTCTTTTCTTTAACAACTGACTGTGTAACTAATCGAGAAATGTTCGATTGCGCGAATGAAGGACGAGAAGAAGCTGCGCGAAGTCCTGTTCTTCGCCAATGGCTGCGGCGGACTGACAGTGACGGAACGGGGAGCCATCCCGGCTCTCCCCACACAAGAAGCCGTCGCCAGCTTCTTGGAAGGCCATGCCCCTTGACAGCGTTGTCGACGCAATCGCCCCAATTTTTCCACATTCTTGTTACATATCCAGAGTCTGGAAATGCAGACAACAACAAACAACAGCTGTGGACAATCATGGAGATCTTCACATCATGGCTGTAAATTTCTCTTACATTCCTTTGATTAGAAAGAGATGATATGTATCTTGATTTGTGTATGTTGTTCAATTTGTGTGCGTGCGTGCGTGCAGGCGTGATTTTTCTTTTTAATTTCTTTTTTCTTACAGTACTTAGTTCAATAATATCTACACACATAAACACAAGAAATTAGTACCCTAAACCCTAAACACAAGATAGAAGCCATAGATACATAACTCGGATCATAATTAGTAACAAACATTAGATTACAGGCAAGGAAAAGGGAAAAAAATATATCCCATCAAATTTAGAAAAATAAAAGGGGATACAGTTGTACAATTGCAATAAGAATTATTTTCCAGAGTACACAGACAATCGAGTAGCTGCCATGCCATTGTATATATATATATATATATAACTTAGAATGAGCCAATAGGTTTTCTGACAGATACCGATACCGATTCGATCATTTCTGAGAGGGTCGCTTATTCCTTGTCTCCGGTAGTCCGATGAACAACTCAGTCTCCACGTCCGAAACCTCGCTGGTCTCCGCAGACTGCGTCGCTGCTGTCGCCGCCACCGCTGCTGTCCTCTCTTCGTTGGATGATCCACCGCTCGGTGTTTGAAGCCCGAACTAGAGTTATAAAAAAAACTTAAGTATGGCTTTCTTCATTACACTCGCATCATCTATATATTGTGTTATAATACAACATATATTTGATTGCAACACCACATATGTTATATCTGTAGATATAGATAGAGAGAGAGAGAGATTGTTTTCTCAGACAACTCTGTAATAATAAAAGAAACTGACTGATCAAATATCATTCACCTTCTCACACAGAATGGCATTTTCAGCAGCCAAGGCTTTTCCCTGAGATGAATACAAAATAGCTTAAAATCAACACAAATATATATATATATAGTTTAAACTTAATGTTCATTTTTATTTTTTACTATCATACAGAAAAAGTTGTTATACATATATGTATATAAAATATCGATTATGAATGTTTTCGGTTACCTTTTCTTTCAAATGCTGAATCTGTTGCTTGTACACTTGCATCTGAACAACCAATGCAACAAAACAACAAACATAAGCGCCGGATCACACACACACATACATATATATATATTTCATAACTAGCAAAGTAAACTCGTTTGGAAAGAACCTTTTTGGCACGAATGGTTCCAACACTGCGCTCGAGCTGCTGCTCCAACTGCTGCAGCTCTTCGAGGCTGCAATTTCCTAAACCTTCTCCTAAAAGCCTCCTATAAAGTCCAACCAATACACCATATCCCCGAGAATCAACCCATGGAAGAATTAATGACAATTAAGCTACATATATATTGGATGTAGCACAATGTAAATACCTTTTAGATGCTTCAAGTTGCTCTATCTTTTTAATCATAGCCGCCGTTTCCTGCCTCAGCTGCTGCATTGTATTGTAATTCAAAGTGACGTACAATAAGAGAGTTGGCATTGAATTGAAGAAGAGCAGCACATAAACATAAAATTGATCCAAAGTCAGACATAAAGCACCACCTGCACATTGCCTTCATCCTCGGGTGGTTTGCTGGCTTGGATTTCTTTTGTATGCTTCTCATACCGCTCGATTGTTGCCTGAATGCTGCGCGAATATGTTTGTCATTTTTATGATAAAAGACATCACTTAGTACTTACTACTCATCCATGCAATTCATGTTGTCTCAAACAAAGGCATTAAGATCCATAATTTGATCTTCAATTTCAGCTATCAAATTACAGCTCTCATCCTGTTTTTCTTTTTTCTTTCCCTTTGTGTTATAAAGTATATACTTCGTCGGTCCGGTAAATTTAGAACATTTGGTCTATACGAAAATTTTAAAAAATGAATAAAAGTAAAAAATATAGTTGATGATATTTTTGAAAATTTAAGTAGAAATTAAAGGATATGAAGAGTAATAAATATAGTGATATTTGTTGTAAATACATATTGAATGAAAGATAATAGTTAAATATTAATTTTTGAATTTGTCAAAATTAGTAATAAAGTAAATTTAATGGATGGACTAAAAAGAAAAAGGGTAAATTATATATCATTATTTGTGTTTTAATAAAAATGCACAAAATACCCATGTTTCATTTATTGGGTAAAACCCCTAGTGTTAATTTAAACTTTACACAAAACACCATCTTTTTTACGTTTGGTTGGATATAAAAATAAAAAATATATATATCTTAAATAATTTTTTTAATTAAATAAATAAATAAATAATTGATCAATCCTTAATTTTATAATTTTTTTTTAAAAATCAAATAACAAATTGTTTCAGAGAAACTATAAAATAAAGATTAATCAGTTATTTATTTATTATATTTACCTCGTTAATTTGTATAAAATTTGCATAATTATAAGGTTTGTATTTACAACCAAATCAATCAATGTATTTTGTACAAACTTTACGGTAACACAAATGTATTTTACCCAATAAATAAAACACATGCAATGAGTTTTATATAATTTATCCAAAATGAAAATAAAAATAAATTTGACGAATAAAAGAAATAATATATTCTATCATAAAATATCATATTAAATTATAATTTGAACACAACGTTTTACATCACAATTTTATTTTATTTTTCTTTAATAATAAACGTATAAAACATTTATTAGATAGTTCACCCTTGTTTATGCTAAAATAGTGTATGGAATTTCTAGTAAACCTATGTATTTAGTTGCGATTTTAAATTGAAATCAACAATATTAGTATTCGTCCAACCGATCATTTTAATTTGATGTTACTTTGCATAAAAATAAATAATTAGCCAAAACCCTCAACTTATACCAATACCTTTCCAAGAAAACAATTAATTATTATTATTATTATTATTATTATTATTATTATTTACATGTATTATATGGAGAGAATCACAACTTATAATTTAGAAGCATCCTCCTCCCTATAATAAATAGGGTTTTGTGTAAGTGTGCTTTTTGTTTTGAGATTTGACATTTTTTAAATGAAAATAGTTATTAGATCTATTAATTTCATTTCTAAACAAAGAATCCTGAGACAAACTAATCAATAACAACAGTGGTTTTATTTATTTATTTATTTATGTTATGATAGACAGGGGTTATTATGTTGTTATATATATATATATATATAAAAGAGACAATGCATTTTATATACATCACAAAATGACACGATTATATAGAAGCATGTGTTGTATAGTTAAGAGTGTATTTGATAATAGTTGTTAGTTGATTCGATTAACTGTTAATTGTTATCTTATTAATTAGTTGGTTTGACTGGTCGAATATATTAGCTACTTGTATTAAAATTTTATAAAAGAATTATTTGATATTATTTATTTATATATAAAATGACAATTAAAAATATTTTTTATTTAATTTTTAAAATACTTAATTGGTTCTTTCAGTGTTTAAGATATTTTAGAATTTTTATTATTACTTATTGAACATTTGAAAATTCTATTATAATATTTGCTTTTGTTATTTTTCTAAATATTTTGTAAAAAAATAATGTATTTTATTGAAAATATATAAAAAATAAAGAAAATTATATATATTAAGTTAATTTTAATTGATGAATTTTTTTCCATTAAATTTATAATTTTAAATAAATTTATTCATTTATTCTAATATATTCATCTTTAGTAAAAAAAAAAAGGTTATTTGACAAATATAGTCATATCAATTGGTGGCTCTGAGAAAATATAGTCATACAAATACTCTAAACTATATTATAGTGAATAAGGATGATTAGTGTGGTGATTAAGGTTAATCAACATATAAAAATAGTGCATAGAATATGTGTTGTATTATAATGTGTTATTGCTTCATACAATACATTTGTACTATATTAACATGTTATATGCACTCAAAGATCAATTTAGACATGTATTATTACCATTTGTTGAAATAATACTTAAGAAAAAAGATATGACAACAATTTATGATCAGAAAACTAACACAGTTTAGTAAAGCATGCGTGGATAATAAATTATTTTGTAACGCTAAATATATGCCTCTATAAAAAAAAATTAAGTTCTTGGAACATTTATTGTTTATTCATTTTTTTTTTTTTTTTAAAAAAAAAAGAACTTGTTTAATTGATTTTTTTTAAAATCTTATGTTCTCATTTTATGTCTAGACTATTTTTAGAAGGCTTAAGTCAGTATAATATATAAATAAAATGACCCAAAACTAGTGGTTATATGTTCATGCAGTAAAATGTCAGTAATCTAAACCCTAAATGTGTGTGAATGAATATCTTATAGCAAAAGTTATTAGAGAAAGTAGTTAGATGTCAGTTAACACTGATAGATAAAGATGAATGCAAGAAATAATAGATGAGAAGAAGTAATCAAATCAATTAACATAACAAAAAATAAAACTCAACCATTCTCCCCACTCACATCAAGAACCTGTGTCTATTCATCTAATGGTCTAGAAAAACCCCAAAATAAATAAATCTAAAAGTGGGAGCCATCATTTATATATAATGCTCCAATTTCCAAACTTCCAATCATATATTTACCAAAAGAAAACCACAGAGAACTTAAACTAGGTAAATAAACAGTTTCTTTTCAAGCATCTTGTTCACTATGCAACAATCTTTTTAATTAGTTTCTGTGTAAGATAACATCCAAAACTGATCATTTCTGTTTCCAAATACCTTAATCTTTAGCCCTATTCTTGAATTAATAATTCTTGATCTTCAACATTTAAGAAAACTTTATTTTTAAGGCATGAATACATGTGCCTTTATAGTGTACTTATTGATAAAAGAATCATACACCAACACACACACACACATACACATACATACATACATACACAGAGACATACATATATATAGAGACAGACAGACGTGTTGGGGTAATTAATACACAAAGAATCTTGGAGTAATTAAAGGTTATAAAAGGGGGGGTTGTCTAGGAGACTAAAGATAAATATTATTACGTGGCAGAAGGGAACATTGAGATTGAGATAATTGGGTCCGTACAAGCATTTTTTTGCACAAAGATTCTCTAAGTGTGATGTAAAGGGAGCAGATGAAGAGTATGGCCTCTTCAACAAAGACACAAATATTTTATACACAAACACACACAAATCTCTGTGACAACTGGCCCCTTACTATTTACTGAAAATAATTTACTTCCAGCTTTTGTTAGGTCCACTAAACAATGGAATTATTAACTACAATATCATCTTGTACTGAAGATCATTCTTCCAACATTTGCCCCATAGTTAGAACTAATCTTCACCTACTGCTTTCTTGTTCAGCCATAGCTTGATTGGAAGGTTTTTGTTTTACTTAGCTTACTGTTATTAGAGGAGTATGAGATTTTAATTCTATTGTTACTCAAACACTGCAAAAAGAAAGCCCAAAAGAAGAAGAAGAACAAGAACAAAAAGATGAGTACCTAAACAAAGAAATGTCTTCCACAAAGGCAGATGAAATTTTTACTCTCTACTGCACCAAAGCTTGATTTAGATGATAATAATAGTGAGAAGCTAATTAGGAATTGTGTTGAAGAAGATCTATGTCTTGTTTTGTTATTTAATTTAGTTAAACAACAAGTTCAAGAAAAAAGAAGGTTTATGTGAAAAGAGGGATTCAACAATACCATACAATGTATTGTTCAACATACCCTTAGATTTAACCATCAAATCATGAATTCCAAGCAAGAAATCGGCACAGGAATTGCGGAAATCAGACATGTTTTTAACCCAAAAAGATGAACATCTCGAACCACACAGTAACCCTATAGCATGAACTGCTGTTATTCTAAATTTAAGAGCAAAAAGTTTGCACGAAAATCTAGCCAGATCGATGAACAAGGCAAGTAGTTCACCAAGACATTCGCAGAAATAGCAGAAGGATCTCACGCATTATGCAAAGCTTTCATCGGAAAAATTCGTGGAAATCAGAAGCAGCAGCAATTCGATTCACTTTACCCAAACTGTAACTGTAGATAAAATTAAATTGAATGTTACCTGGAACTAGCGAATTCGTAGAGCTTTCCGCGAGGAGAGAAGATGATGAGCGCAACCTCAGCATCGCACAGCACCGAAAGCTCAAATGCCTTTTTCAGCAATCCATTTCTCCTCTTCGAGAACGTCACCTGTCGGCTTGTCGCGTTCTCTATACGCCGCATCTGCGTCTTCCCTCTCACCATTTTCTGCGAGGACACAAAGTCAATCAACCTCACAATCTGCGGATGAACAGTCGAAAAACGGACACACAAAAAAAAGCAAAGGAAAAGGAAACAAAGCTCGCAGACGAAGATGGAAGATGAACAAGGAACATTGAGATAATCAATTTACCTTTCCGGCAATGCGAATTTGCCAAATATGTGATGCGAAAACGAAAGAAAGCAAAGCAGATATGCAAACACAACACAAAAAGAGGAATTGAATTGAATTGAATTGAAGAAGAAGAAGAAGAAGAAGAAGAAGGATGTGCTTACAAATTTGGCAAAAACCCGGAGAGAACCTCTTTGTGTTTATGGCGAAAAGGCAAACTTACAGACCCAAAAAGGGGAAGCACCAAATCATCACACTATCTGCGTGTTCACAGTTTGACAGAAAGAGAGAGAAAGAGAAATATAGAGAGAGAGAGAGATGGAGAAAAGGAGAGAGAGAATACCGAATACCCAAAAAAACCCCAAATTCCACAAAGCAAAAGAAATCCCTAATCCCCAAGAAAAATTGAGATTGAATTCACCACAGTCTGATTCTTACCTCCTTTTCGAGACAAAATTCAACAGTTAAAATCGATTCCAAATTAACCAAAACAAATCATCAGTTTCATTGGATCATCGAAATCAAATCAAAACCTCAGCCATGGCTTCTTTTGGCAAAAACAAACACCAACTGCAAAAAAAACCCTCACCCCTCCCGGAAAAGTGTATCCACTACTACCATATTTATCGAAACCCAATCCGTGTGTCTGAAGCCAAAGTAGTAATAAGGATAGGAGGATAGGAAAAGGATAGGAAAAAGAAGGGTAATAAACGTAAAAATGATGGATGTCCGTACAGGGTAGAAGGTGGGGCGAAGACGTCGACATCAGTCAGCGTACGAGGCCAATAGGAGATAGAAAACGCAGAGGGCTGTTATGATTTTCTGTACAAGACTGAAAGGGATGCGCGTGGGCCCCCCCCTCCCCCCTCCCCCCTCCCCCCTTAATTTGTCCACCCACACTTTTTTTGCCCCTATTTATTTATTTTTAATATTTTCGATTAATTAATCAATTAGGACAGCACCCCCAATGGGCACTTCCCTCCTTAATCATTCTTCATTCAATTTGTGTGTGTGTGTGTGCGCGAATATTAATTTATTTTAATTTTGAAACTAGGGAGTGTTTGTTTGGAGATTGGATTTAATTTCTACTGTTTATCTCTTTTTTTCTTTCAAAAAATATCAAATCAAAACACCTATTTTTTATTTTTTATATTATATTAAAAATCAATTTTACGTTCAAAACATCACATCAACACATATTTATATCACATCATACAACTATTTAAATTCAAAATTTTTACTATTCAAATCTCATCTCAAAATCCAAACCTCCAAACAAACACACCCTCAAAAATAATAAATTATGGAGACTTTTAGGGTAGACTTTTCTGTTCTGTGGAATTCTGTAGATGTGAATAATTTAGGTTAGGGTTATGTGGACAATTTTGGTGCATTGGATTTTTTATTTTTTTTATTTTTTTAACTCCTTTTTAGTTTTTACAGGATAAAATGCTTACGGCAACAAGCATGAAAGTTATTTAAAATAAATAAATAAAAACTCGTTAAATTACATAAATTATTAGGCTTACTCTTATATGTCGTATTTTTTTTATATTGTTTTCAATAATAATAAAAAAAATTATCTGTAGTTTTTCAATAAAAATATATATATATATTTTTTATAAAATATTTGAAATAAAAACTAATCCTATATATATATCTATAGCAAAGGTGTGAATCTCATCCCTCAGATTCCTAGTTTCTCATTTTCTTTTTGGATTTTTAATATTTTTTTTAATGGCGTTTTTTCAAAACATATATATATCGTTTATTTTTTTTTATTTATTTATTTTTTTGAAATAATGGTACAGTGGGGCAATTTTTTAATTTATTTTTTTAATTCAGGTTGTGTATCATATTTTGCAAAAATATAGGTACTACAAATGCACATATGTATTCTCTCAAATAATTTAGCAAAATCAGAATATCGGCAATTAGTGTCCGACGTTGGATTTGGAGAAGGTGTGTTGAAAGTCCGACAAAAACTCGGGTAGGATTTGGTGACTCTCCCTTCTACCCATACTATATTTATTTTCAAATGCGTTCTTTCTTATTCTTTTATTTTTAGGATAAATTTTATTTTTAATATATTTTACAGATAAATTACGATGCAGAAGAAGGTAAACACATTATATCCATTAATATTTTTAATATATTTTGTAGATATTTTCTATTTTATTTGTTTTGCAGATAATCACAATACGATGTACAGAAAATAAGAAGAAGGTAAACATATAATATTCATTAATATTTTTAATATATTTTGTAGATATTTTCTATTTTATTTATTTTGTAGATAAATCAGGTAACACATAATATTCATTTATTTTTTTAATATATTTTGCGCATATTTTTTATTCTATTTATTTTACAAATAAATTAGAAAAGAAGGTAAACACGTAATATTCATATAATAAACTATAAATATAATATTCATATAAATATATATTAAATAATATAATTATATTTAATATTTTTTCTACATAATTTTATTTTATTAACAATGTTTATTTGATAATAATTGTTTTATTTTATTTATTTTATTTATTTTTCTTATTTTCTTAATTATATTTTATGTATTTTTATCATTCAAATATTTTATTGGATATTAATTAATTATATATTATTTAAAATTAAATTTATATATTTATTATTTGAATATAAATTTTAATGATAGATTCAATTCAAATCAAATTTAAATTTTTATGTTTTTATTTTTGTTCTTTTATTTCAATAATTTGAAATAATTATATTTTATATTATATTTTATAAAATATAATTTGTTATTTGTGAAATATATATAGAAAATAGAAATATAACATTTATAATAAATATAATTATTTGATATATTTTGCAATTTTTACAATTTTGAATCAATCTTATAGGATTATCTACTAATAATTTTAAATATTTTAAATTTGATAGTTTACTTATTTCAATATCTGCAATATAAAATTAAAACAAATAATTATTTATTATTATGCTAAATTAAAATTAAATGTAAAAAATAAGTTTTAATAATAGATATAGTTAATTAGTATTTTAATTTTTCTTAAATAAAACCTAACATTTAAACGTACAGCGTATAATGTAACATTATTTTAAAATAGCTATTATTTATACTTTATTTATTATTTTTTAAATATTTTAATTATGTATACACCCATGCATAACAGAGTTCAAACGCTAGTTCAGTGGTATCACAATTTTCTAACTGGGATAGGTCACGTGCAGATTTATACAATAATTCATAATTACTGTATATTAATCCTAATCTTTAATTTATCATTTATTTAATCAATATAACTAGATAGTTAGGGGTATTTGATATAGAGAATTGAGAAAAAAAAATAAAAATATTTTTATTTGTATTGTTTATTTATGTAAAAAAAATATAACTTAAAAAATAAATCATTTTTATTTCTTTATTTTTATTTATCTCGCATTTGAAAGAAATAGAGATAAATGAATTTTTATACTTACATGTACATTTTTTTATTTTACTATTTAACTTTGTTTCAAGTTTATAAAATTTCATATCAAAATAATAATAATAATAATAATAATAATAATAATAATAATATTTTTATAATTACTGTTAAATATGATAATATTTATTCACAAAAATTTTCTTCAATGAAATTATATTTTATTTATCATTTTTCATAATTAATTTATTTTTTTTACCTTTTTTTATTTACATATAATAAGCAGTCTCATCTAAATCAATTTATTCAATTTTTTGTATTTTTTTATATTTCTCAATATGAATTCTCTATTATAGCAAACAGAATAATCAATTTTTTAATAAGTAATTATTTTTTAAGGACATATATCCGTTTAAGTTATAATAATTATAATAATAATAATAATTTTATACATTTGAGGAGTGTTTAATTCATATAATGTGTTTCCTTTTCATATGATACATTAGTTTTTTTGCACATGTTAAGTAATACTACTAGAAATTTGCTTCGGAATTTGAACAACTTCCGAAATAATATTTTTTACCTTTTCAAATTTGTATTGAAAATGCATTTAAAACTCGTCGTTCATCAAATAGCCTTGGACTTTTCGAGACCAAATCCGAAATGCAGGCTTTACTGGTCCATAAGTTTATATTTTTCATTATCTTGGAAATTTCGAAACTATTTTTTTAAAAAAAAATTTTCAAAGCAATTATTTATTTGAAAAAATTTGTGTGTGCATGTTCATATTTTATTTTAAAGTGTGTATGTATTTATATATTTTATAATATTTATAAAAATTATACCATCGTAAAATATAATGTGAATAAACTTGTTATTTATATCATATGTGGTGTGTTCATTTGTAAGTATTTTATTTTAATATTTTTATGTAAAATATTTATTGAATGTAATATATTTTAAAATAAAAAATAGCATCGAATATTTCTGAAAAAAAAAATTAGAAATATAAATTTATCATTGAAATCGCTAATAAACACACCCTTGAATTCCATTTTGTTTTTAAATTACATGAATTAAGGTCATTACTTCGAGTTTTTTAGTTATATTATGAAACATCATTATTTCGCGTCTCGATAATATAAATATATATACTTTATATTAAACTATTAATTTTATGTAAGTGTGTAAAAATATATTATATATATTTTTTATAATATTAATAGGAAAGTGTGCTTAACATTTTTTATCGGTTGAACACCAATTAATTTTCTATAAACATTTCATTCAACAACTATTTTATCTAAAATTCGAAACACAATTTAAAAACATAGATGATGCAAAATAAACACTCTACCAATGTTTATTATTGATAATTAAAGAATTATATATATATATATAAAGATTAATAAATCAATTAGCTAGGTGTCTCTTTTTTTTTTTTTTTTTTTTTTTATGTTTGAAGTGAAATAGTCTATAATTGAATGCATTATTTTATATATAAAATAATTATTATATATATTTTTAATAAATATGTGAAACTGTATAGTACGTAAAATTGTTAATGATTTGAGTCGAGTCAAATTTTAAGTGTTCGTTAACGTTCGCGAATAAGGTTCGTGTTCGTTTGTAGTGTTCGAGCTCGACTTGTTAAGAATTTTTGTTGTTTGAAATCTTGTTGGTATTCGGCTCGTTTATAATCCGACTATTGTTACATCGCCTAATGGCATGACTCGGTCATGTTAATCTCGTATATAATCCATTATATATATATTCACGATAATTTTGTGTTGAAAATTATTAGGATTAAATAGATGTTAAATATACTACTTCCTCCGTCATGCAAATGTGTGTTTATTTGACCGGGTACGAGTTTTAATAAAAGTGAGTAATAATTGTTAAATTTTTATTTTATAGTAAAAAAATAGTACAAAAGTGGAATGATTTTTTACTTTAAAAGAAAATGAGAATATTTTTCGATTACAATCGAAAAAGGAAAATGAGCATAAATTTGAATGACAAATGGAGTATATTTTTTCTATAAAAAATTAATATATTCTATTGAAAATTGTAAAATTATAGAATTAATAAATAATTTTTTATAAAATAAAAAATCAAAGTAAAGCTAGCCTTAATATTTATATATAACCAATTCCACACACTTTTAGAAAATATATACTCCTTCCGTCACATATCTATATATCTATTTGTTTTTTGTACGGAGTTTTAAAAATATTAGTATTATATTAAGATAAAGGGGG